AACAGATACAATAGGGTTCCATGCTCCGATGGAGACATGGAAACGCTGCTGCTTTGCAGCTGCGTTACCCTGCTTCCTCGGGCTTGGACCCCTAATAAAAACTAAGTAATAATTTGGTCAATATTGGACAGCCTACAAGGACCAAAGGAATGTTTGTCAAGTAGACATTATCATGACCAGAAAACAAAACCCCAAAAAGACACTAAAACCAATGGAGTTAGGTGCCTCTACATAGTCCCAGTTTCTGACATTTTCCCAAAGAATACTAATATTTTACATGACTGTAAGGGTTCAGCAGTTACTCTGAAAGCAGTCTCATACACCCACCACATGTCACATTAACCACCATCACTGACATTTTATGAGAAATCATGGTTTTTATGAACCAAGAGTAGCATGCCCAATAAATCACATATACTGTAAATGCATTCACAATAAAAAAAAAGAATATTTTAACTCACAATGTATGTTATGCACATGCACAGATTTGCAGATTAGTGTCAGGAATAAATAAAAAAAGATCATAATTTGAAAATCCAACTACTTTTCAACCAGTTAATGAGTTTAATATGATATATGCATAACAATAACAGAGTATTAACAATTCTCATTAAAACATATTTTATTTAACAATGTATAAATGTTTCTGACGTGGTACTTTGTTTTTTGGGGATAAGCTTTTCTTTTTTTTTAGTGTTTGGAAAGTGGGAGCGGCTTCCAACAAAATAATACAATATAACAAGATTAACTTCATATTCAATGTCTATGAGCAAAATCTTGGTGAAATAAAAGCTATGGTTTGTAAAAGCAGGTGGCTGACTCTGTTCATTGTTCAGATGAGGAGAGGGATGTGAAATCACAGAGACAAAGAAAGAGATGAGGAGCAATGGACAGAGGTGACGACAGAGGCCTCCTTTCATCTGGCCTCTTTGATGGCACCAATGATCGTGTGTACAACAAAAGAACTGATATCCAACAAGAGAATAACAGAGGCAGGGAGAGTGACCAAGAGGTGGGGGGGATCTGACTTTCTCTGAGATGCATTCAGGTACACAGGTGTCAAGTTCGGCAGCCCAAGACAACAAGACATGTCTGACATCTGAATCCTTAGACAGGAAACTTTACAAACAATAATCACTGACCCGACATTCCCAGTTAAATTATGTGAAGAGAAACATTGACCTGAACATCCACTCACTGAACTTAATTGATAAAACAACTAAAAAAGCTGTCTGTAAAATTTATTTTAGCGATTCCTTTACTTACAATTTGTGGTTGCTTTCTGATCAAACAAGAGTCCATAAATTATTATTTTTTATACTGTTTTTGAACAGTATTGCTGTAGAAAGGGTGGCCAAGAAAAGTTAACTGATCTCTTTTTGTACCTGTATTTGTCTTGGTATGTTCGAGCGTATGTGATTGTAAGCTGATCTCAGCGTGTGTAACTTTGCACCAGGCCTGGAACGGACCAGCACGCCGTTATTCCCTTTCACTTTCGCACAAGACGTCTAAGTAGGACATGACACGAGCTCGTTTTTTTGTCCTGATGGTGATCCTGACCTGAACAGATCTGGCATGGTCTGTTAGATCAATTTAACAAGACACCTCCTTTTTAATTAATAAGTGAAAAACCTATTTAACTTTACATCAGAAAAATATATATCTGATCAGCAATGTAAGTGCTTGAAAAGATGTCAGACCTTTTCAACCAGCCTTCCTTTCTGCACACATTTTTCCCCTCTGATTATTTTCTAACTGTGTTTTTATTTAGATGGAATAAAAACAAGTTCAAGTTTATTTTTTATAGCGCCAAGTCACAACATACGTTGTCTCAGGGCACTGTACATAAAAAGAATAATCTAAAGAAGAAGCCAGCAGGCTGCGTTGAATCACTTCATCACAGTCTCCCATCCTGAGCAAACGGTGGAGAGGAAAAACTCCCTGCTAATCAGGAAGAAACCTCCAGCAGAACCAGGCTCAGGACAGGAGACCATCTGCCACGAAAACAGTAAACAAGTAAACCCTGCAGCATTTCACTGACAAAGAACAGGATGCATCAAAATGCTATTAAGAAACTAAAAACTACCTCAATTATTGGGACATGAAGGAAATCTGTTTATTCACCACACACATAGATCTTTGGGACAATGAATAAAATAATAGAAAGGCCTTAAGAATAAAGGGACAACAAAGAGGTTTCTCAGCTGGCCTAATTATAATGTTTTTTACACACATCTGTTTTAAAAACTTTCCATTTTTACATCAGCTTTAAATCTTTAAAGTGAGATCACAAACAGTCAAAAGAACTTTTTAACAAGTTAAATTTCTGAAAACAACCTTTGTGGTTACTGCTAAACTATGCAGGAGCTTTGCTGTTTTTTATGTTTGTTTTATTCACCGACAAGAGGACGAGGGCAATTCATTTCACAATGTACCTGCTGGTTTTAGTTTATATTGACACATCCACTCTTCCTCGCACTGCATCTTTTATCAAGTGAGAGGATATAAATTGACAACAGCATTATTTATGCCCACTGCACTAACTGGCTATCTGATAGCCTTTGCAAAGTGTCAACCGGTACGATTGCCTGTTCCAGAAATTGCTGCCCTGCATCACACCCATCAGTTAATTTAGTGGAATAGATACAATATAAAACCTTAGCAACAACTTTTATAAGACAATAAGCTGTTACTTGACAATATCACACGGTTTCATTAACAAGAGCATATTCTTTTTGTTTTCTAAAAGATTTCATCCACTTCTTTGACCATTGTGGTTTCAACAAAAATCTGCTAATCTACAAATGTTAAAATTTCTCCTTGATACATCAAAAGGAAAGTTCTGATGATTAAAAAACGGTCTTCCATCAGAATGAATCTCATTTATGTCTCGTTTAAAGTTAATTTCATAATTGTTTTTTAGGATTTCTATTTGCCTGTGTGCTTTAAAATCTTTCAAGTATTGTTTAGAAAAATCAAAGCTTCAAGAACATTTGACCTTCATCAAAGTTAGAATCATCACAGCTGTCAGAAACTGTCAGTCACACAGGAACAAAATGCCTTGAGTGTCATGCACAGCTGTTAAATCTCCTTTTTTTCCTCCAATTTGTATTGGTTGTTTGATGTCAGTGGTAATTAATGAAGTTGCACAACAAGCAGCTTCACATTTGTGGTCCTAATTAAATAAAGATTGTTATATGCACTTCAAAAGGTTATTAGAAATTGTAAATGCAAAACTCACATCTCTTCAGAAGAGCTTGGTTTAATCCACAGTGCCAAGGTGAGGGAACTCTGTGCTCCTAGAGCCTGAGAAGGAGGAGTGATCACACAGCCATCTTTGCCTGGTTGAAACAGCACACTGCCAGATCCAACAGAAACCTCATCTGAACTTGTTGTGCTTCCAGTTTCTGTCCGAGTCCCAGGACGGGTGTCAACGGTGTCTTCTGTTACACAGTTACCCCTACCACAATTAAGAAAAGAAAAAAAAAACATGTCAATACGATTATCTTCCAAGTGTTTTTACATTGCAGAACATTATAAACCACGTCATGTGATTCCTCAGAAGAAGAGACGTCACATAAGTTGGTCCAGATACCTGTGCGCTGCCAACAGGAGCGGGGCATTCGGTGGTGTGGACGATCTATAGGGACATTCCTGGACACAAACAGCTTGAAAACATGTCAGCAGCTCAGCCTGAGAGGAAGGTGACTGGCAGTAGCTGCTCCGCTCAGGAACGCCACAGGTGGAACGAGGCGGCGAGGTGAACACAGGCTTGAAAGCTGCAATATTCTCCATTCGTGGAAAGTGTCCCTGTGAAAGGTGGGTGTAACTAGGTGCCATCTTCACAGTAACAAGTGCTGAATTTGAAAATATCTCATTTAAAGTGTCAGAACACCATTCAGCTTGTGAGTTGTGATTTTTTAAAATCTTTTGTAAAATAAAACATTTTCATAGCAGACATTTAGTGGTAAACACATATTGGTAGAATTCCTATTAGCCTCTTATGGTTTGTGGTATGCCTCACTGCCATTACATATTGAGTTGGTTACAAATGACACAAAATGTTTATTTCTTACACCCATGTGATGAGTCTAATTAGAAGTTATAAAAATACACAGCTAACTCCTCCACAGTCTAGACATTGCTCTTGAGAACCACTCTTACCTGGGATGAAGCAAGGTTTGGACAGAGGCTTGCAAAGACAAGACAGAGGAAGATGTAACGCCACGTTTGGCCAATAATATTCGTTTGGCTCTTCATCTTTCCTTCGCTGCTGTTTTTCTGGATTATAGACCACATAAATACAATCCAGAGCTTTTTCTTCTGGATGTTTTCGTCTCTTTGCATGATCTGGCCTTCCGTTTTTTCGACCAGTAACGTCTCAGCACGATTTGACTCTTTCTGGTCTCTTCTGTTCACCCCATCTTTCCATCTTTTTGGATCTTTTCCTTCACTGCTGACTCCTCTGCCCAGTGTTTGTGGATTCCTTCGAGTGTTTCTCCCCTCACTTCCTTTCTTCTCCTCTGTCCTCCTCGGGCGTTCGACCGAACAACGTTCATGATTGTTCATGAAGTCCATACTTCCAATTTTTTTTTTAGAACTTCAGATTTTGAGGGCCCTTCCTGCAGGCAGGGGGATGCTCAGGAATCTTAATTTTGCACCGAAGACTCCCAACACAGTCTGAATAAGAGATAGCTGTCATGGTTCCAGGGTTATGAGACATTTTTACAGGCCAATGCCCCTGGAGTGAGGGCTACCGAGCTTCTCCTTCCCCCACACATGCACCGCCACACCTGGGTAAACTACAACCAAAGCCTTCACGATAGGTAGGATTTCCCAATCTAGAAAATGGGGGTGGTGGTGGGGAGGGGGAGAGGAGCAAACAGAGAAGTGGTCAGACCAAAATCCAACATCAGACAAATCTGAGGAGAGCGAAATGCCATGCAGGCTATTCCCAAGCCAAAGCCTACACTATCATGTACAGCTTGATGGAGGCACAGCTCATCTGATGCTGCTACATTGCTTTCCCCTTTTCTTCATTTTCCTTTGAATTAAACATGCCCCTTTTTTCCCTCTGGCATCTGGCCTCCGGGTTTCATCCAACTAAACAGGTTCTCACCTAAGTTTGTTGGAAATTGAGGCTTAGGCCAAAGCTCTCGTCATTACAATACTTTGGAGCTTCAATTTCCCATTTTTGACGCACAAAAAGAGGCCAACAGAGCAGTCATCCCTGGTGTTACATTACAAGGTCCAGACCCCCCGCCAGTAATATCCGTTAGAAAATAGAGAAGTCTCTCCCTGTATCTAAATAGAGTATAACTTTCTTCACGTCGAGCTAATTTGTTTTTCTATGCAGATATTGTAACACTGCAAATGCGTCAGCTCCTGAATATTTACCTGTCGTTGTGTGAGTCCGCGCGCAGAGCTCTGCTCCCAACACAAGTGCAGCTCCGACAAACATTCAACTTGTTGCGTCTGCATGAGTG